ATTTAAAATTTGGCATTTCTTAAATATTAGAAATAAGCTAAACAAAACTTTCAAAGCTTGTAACTACTAACAAACTCTAAGTCAAGAATGACTTGACATTCTTCAGTAATGTAATATGCCAAACAAAATGATGCTTGGAAATGTTGAAAATTTTGCTTAGTATCCTAATATTTTACTTCAAATAGTATGTTTTTGATATAATCATGTTGGGAAAATGCAAGAATCTGTTCTTAAATATCTTTTAACAACTTTATCTAATATCTTTTAACTTTTTATTGCCCAAAAAGGAATTAATTTTAAATTATAAGCAGTTAAACTCAAAAATACAGTTTTACCAAAACTATGGGTTTTTAACAGTTTTCGACGTTTTTGACAGTGGGGTTTTTGACATGACGGTAAAAACCATGGTATAAACCGGTAAAAACCGTCACGTGTCGAAAACTTGCCAACCCTGGTATAGATGCCATAAATTTCTTTAAGAATATCTTTGTTTGAGTCTGTTTGAAAATCGAAGAAATAAGGAAGTGGTATTTCCTAAATTATCTACTCATTCAGTTGTTAGAAGGTTATTAAATTTATAAATATGTTAACTTTTGAGTAAAATGTGTGCATTTTTTCTAATGTTATATATATGATTTTAATGCTTAATGTGATATATATCTACATTATTTTAGTTAAATACCACAGAACATGCTCCTTATTATCAGTTACTGCATCTTTTTGCTTTTGGGACTTATTCAAATTATTTAGGTAGGCCAAAATTTATATTTATCTCAATAATGGTTTTGTTATACTTCTTTCTAAATTCAAATTTTATTTATATATTTATTTTAGAAAATAAAGACCAATTTCCAGAATTGTCTCCTGCTATGATTAATAAGTTACGCCATCTCACCATTGTATCTCTAGCTACTAAAGATAAAGTGAGTTGAAATTTGATTGATAATTTTTTTTTCTATTATTTTCCTTTATTTTTCTAGAAGATATATTGCATTTATTCAAAATTTTCCTTTTCTTTGTTTTGTTACTTTAAGCAGCTTAAAAAAAAATTAAAAGAAATCAATAATTATGAAATAATTACAAATTACTGTTTAATTTATCTTATTTTCCAGTACATTATTGTTATCTTAGATTTACTGATATAATTTATGTTGTCAAATTGTTATGTTTCTCATTTTAGTGTTTAATTCAGCTATGGTAGAAGCAACTTAGGGAATAAAATTAGGAAACTGAGAAGACTAAAATTAAGAAAAAGGAAAAGAATTATTCTAAGTAAAGGAAAAGAAACTAAAAAATGAAGGGGGAAAAAACAGATCAAAATATGTGATAAATATATTTTTTAGCAATTCATATAAAGGAAAATATTTTGTGATTTATCTCATCTTAGAAATATGTACTTAACATGGAGGCCTAGTTTCAATCCTACAATGTTTAGATAACTTTCATTTTCATTGAGCAAAAGTTGTAAAAAAACAGGTAGGGGATGACAGGGCATGTTGGACCAGGGGCAATTTGAATCAAGCTGAATTATTTTGATGTTATTAAATATTTTTAATTGTTTTTTCCATTAACATGTAGAACTGCTAGTATTACAAATCCTATGAAAGAATCACTTGGTTTAGTTTCCATTTTTATTGCAACAATTCGTATGCTATCATTGCTAATTCAGTTTTTGATCATCGCTACTAATCTTTTAAAATTTGTTTCTGTGAAAATAGAATAATAAATTGAGACTATTTTAAAAAGTTAGATCTTTAATTTAACAATTACTTTCAGTCATTTAAGTTTATTTTTATTTGATATATTAAGCTTATTTTTTGTGAAATCCCGAGTATGGGATATGTTGATACACTAAACTCGTAGTATGTTAAACCATCTATATAATTCTGAGAAATTTGATTATAAGTATCTTTTTCGTTAACTGTAGAGTTATACGTTCTCATAAATAATTTAAATTCACTTCTATTTGTTTAGAAGTATCAAAGTCTTTCAATTATTCTACTTTAAAAAACCAAGGTGCACCAGTCTGAAATGAAGAATGACAAAATTAATAAATTTAAAGTATTATTCAATTCTTTTCCTTGATTAGAATTTATTTTTAATTTCTAATTTTTAAACAATTGCTTTTTAGTGTATTCCATATTCAAAACTTTTGAAAGAGCTTGATTTGAAGAATCTGCGAGAATTGGAAGATTTGATAATTGATGTAATATATGCTGATATAGTGCAAGGAAAGTTGGATCAAAAGAATAATCGATTAGAAGTTGATTATACTTTGGGCAGAGATATCAAACCTGCTGATGTTGATATCATTATCAATGTCCTACATGAATGGTAAATAAGTATTTAAGTCATAATTTTTATTTTATTATTTTTAATCAGTAGCAGTCAAATAAAGTTCTAAAAATATGTTATAGCATTCTATTATTTTTTACTGTGGAGACATTTTTTTTAAAAATAGAAATCTGATATTGGAATATATAAATGCTTTTGCTTTACTATTTTGTCTTTGAAATTCAAATACTATGTATCTCTGTGTATAAGTCGACCCCCTATTTTTGGTTATGAGATAGAAAATTTCTGGTATGTCAGGAGTATAAGTCAAAAGCTAAGGGGGAAAAAAAACAAGTATGAGAACTCTTAAAAATTTAGAAAAATAATTTAGTCTGCAAAATTTTTTCTAGTTAAAAATATTTAGCATTCTTCTCTCTGGATATGTGAAACTTTTATCCTTAAATAAATATGTATATTGTTATTAAATCAGATATAAATGATATTCTGGAATCTTTGAATTCGTATCTTTATGGTATGATTTAGAAGTTTTTATTCTGTTCTATATTTTGATATACTTTTGAACAAAATAACTTAATTTTTCCTATTCTTAATTTTTCTGATTATAATTTAAAGTGTTTTTAAAAATCAAAATGCAAAAAAAAAAAAGCAAAATTAATTGTATTAAAAATAGTTTTTAAAAGGATTAAATCAATACGAAGTTATTCATATCTATCTCATTATACATAATGCATTGATATTTTATGATAAACGAATGTCTGAGTATATTACAGTTGTATAAGTCGACGTCCTGATTTTGTAAAATTTTGGAAGACTGAAAAGTTAACTTATGCTGCAATATATTTGATATAACTAATATAGGTCAAATAGATCTAAAAAGATCCTTGTTTTAAAAAAGAAATTTCGTGTCACACTTATAATCTCTTGTCAGCAGGTTTTCCTAGGTGATATTTCATTCTGCTGACTGCAGAAATTCTATAGAAAGTATGAATTTTTTCCCTTAGATTTACTCACAATTTTCATATATATATATATATATATATATGCAGGTATATACATACATGCATACTAATTGATGGACTAATTTTTATTATCATTAACATGTTATCAAAAGTTGATACATTTAAATAAATCTAAAACTTTGTTAGAAGATTTTTAAAAAATTTTTTTATTTATGTCAAATTCATTATGTATATTTTGTTGAAGTGCAATTCTAATTGTTAGCTACTTTTATTTGATTNCTTAAATATATATATGTATGTATGTATACAGGTATATACATACATACATACTAACCAAAACTTCAGGGTAAACTTTGAATTGCCCTGTATGTTGCTTGTTAATTGTCACAAATGAGATGAAAATCATTGAAATGTCTGTTAATATTCCTGACTAATTTTTATTATCATTAACATGTTATCAAAAGTTAATACATTTAAATAAATCTAAAACTTTGTTAGAAGATTTTTAAAACAAATTTATTTATTTAAAATTCATTATGTATATTTTGTTGAAGTGCAATTCTAATTGTTAGCTACTTTTATTTGATTCCTGCAGGTCTGATAGCTGTGAAACGGTACTGAATAATATTGAAAACCAAATAGTAAAAGCGAATACAATGAAAGATAATCATCTAAAATTAAAGCTGCAGATAGAAAATGAGGTATTGTAAATTATTTGTTTACTTTTGTTATTATTTATAATTGTGTACTATTTTTTTAAAATTAATTTTCTTCTAATAATTGTTTGATTTATTTTTGCTATAGTTGGATTTTTATTTATCGATAAACTTCTTTGATCACATAGAATTATTATTATCATTATTTTTTTGAAAGTTACAACAAAAATTTAAGGGCTTGGGATAGTAGCTTATTATTTAAATCAGTAATTCTTTGAAATAATGTTAAGAAAAGAATGTATTAAAAATTATGTGAAGATTGAAGAATATGTACATATATAAGTAATAATGCAAATTTTACCTCTTTTGTTTACATTTTTTGAGAAGTGCAAGTCTTTACTCCACGCATTATCATTTTTATTTTATTTTGTAGCCGGCATTGAACAGCCGACCAAATTTTGAGTTTACAACTGCCCATGTTCAACTCTGTAGCTTTGTAATTTTTAATCCATTTCAGAAGACAAAGGAACTTCTGTATCAAGTATTAGGAAAAATTTCCCTACGTGGAAGACTTTTTGATGGAACTAATCCATGTTTGTGTTACATGGTGAGAAAAACTCTAAAAATCTCCTACTGTTAGCCTGATTGCTTGGGGACTCTAACCCATGATCCCTCTACCACTGATGATATTTTACATCAGCACTGTGGTCGAAGTGAGCCAGGTGTGGAATTCGCATCAACCAGCTATCACTAAGATTCGATCTCGGGTCGCCTCATTGGGAAGCAAACACTCTTATCCCCTGATTCACCACAACTAATTTTTTATCATTTGAAAATGTTCTTATCAATATGCATCATAAATGATAGTGAAGCAATTTATATACTTATCTCTATTTGTATTAATTGGTTTTACAAATCTTGCAGTTTGATTCCTATTTATCTAATTTGCACATCAGATTTTGTTTTATTGCTCTGCAATATTTTTAAAGGCGAAACCATCATTTTAAAGTGTTCTTTGCGTAATGTTTAGTGATTTTTGTATATTTTAAATTTATTGCCTAGTTTGATGTTACTATTTTTAATGAATTGTTATATTAGAAGGGAATAAATTGAAAGCCAATTAAAATATTTTAAAGTTTTACTTTGGTATTCGTGTCATTTCAACCGAAACTAATTTTACTATTTCAAAAGTTTTTAATTTGCATTTTAGGTCAGCTCAGTAAAGAAGAATTTAAAATCTCAAGCACAAGACAATGAAGTTGTTGAAGAGATGCGAGAAGTACTGCAACCTGAAAAACCTTCAAAGAAGAAATCGAGTGTAAAAGGGTAGGTATTGTAAAATATTTGCAATACTATTAATTGTTTAGTGTACTCTCATATATCAATATCCATAAAGCTTCATTTTATATGAAGTGGTGAAAGCATATAAAATGTTTGGTAAATCAATAATTTGCTTGGTAAATCAATAATTTGCTGTTGTTAAAGGCAAAATTTCTTAAAATATGAAATGAAATAATTTAAATGATTAAAAATTTGCTATTTCAACTCTTCATTTTATATTATTTTACAAAATGTGTCATATGTTGTAAATTCTAAACAATTTATTGGTTTTTCATCTTCTAAATTGTACTCAATGTCTTACTTTTCTATTTTTCCCTCCCCATTAAAAATAAAAGCCTATTTTGTTGAATATCATCACTGTTCGCTGTTTGGTTAGGAAAAAGTCAAGTATGGATGTATTTAGATTTATTTCTATGGCTAAAAATATTTTATTTTTTATGGTTTCAGAATCAAAGGCAGTAGTAAATTTTGGTCAAAATCATGAACTCCTTTTTAAAGAGTGACAAAAAGGTATGCATATGCTTCTGCATCGTTCGTTACATCATATTCCGAAATTCTAGTGCACTTACTAGAATTTAGTTTTATTTTATTTGTTTGCCTAATGTAGAATAAAATCAGAAATACCAAGTTTTAAAGAATAGCAAAAAAGTGCTACTTTCTGATTTGTGTTTTAGACTTTTATAAACTTTTTTTTTCGTCATGCGTATTTACTAGCTTTTTTTTTGTTACATAGATTTTCTATATTATTACATTTTTAAATTATTTTACTATTTTGTGATTTAGATATATTTTTTATAGGATTGTAGGACTGTGGTAAAGCAGATTGGAATGCTTTAGATCTTCCATTTATTCTTTGTGAAAAATATATATGGATTCCTTTCTGTTGTATATATAAATTTTTTTTTTTCTGTCTTAAATAAATATTCAAAAAAATATTTAGTTCCTGTATTTCTTTCATTTAATTTTACATTACTGGAACAAAAATACTTACTTTTTTTAGTATTATGAGTACAGTCTTTAACAAATTATAGTTTATATTGTTCTGATTAAAGCAAAATCACAAGTTTTAGCTTTTATTTGATTTATGTGATGCATTGCTCCTTGAATTTTTAATTTCCTTTTTACTTTTACATATTCTTTTATAAGAAATTTTTTATTTATTATTTTACCGAATCTATTTTTATTATTTTTCACAGTCTTTTTAAGCAGAACATTATTATTTTATTATTCTTAAGTTTTCATTCTTGACTAATTTTTATGTTAGCATTACATTAAAATAATGTTGCATTAATCAAATTAAATATATTTTTTGACTAGAAAAACAATTTCGTGGATTGAGGTTTATTTCTTATTTTTAGTTTCAATTTGACTTATTAATTTTTGCGAATCAATTATGAAACGTTAATAACATCTATTATTTATTTTAAAAAAAGAAATGTTTTTGTCAACCAACTTTTATAGACTTTCTTCCTGGCTAAGCAGTGAACAAATGGTATTTCAAAGACAACAATATGAGTTTAAAACTATGGAAGAGAACTTGTTCCCTATTACCCATAAGTGAGCAGTTTTAGTTCAAACTGTTCTGTGTTGTATATAATGTGTGGATGGAGTTATAGAAATGCAATTATTTATGTAAATTTCTGCATATGTATTATAAACTCATTAGATACCCTTCTGTAAAGATGTGAGTTTTGATATGCATTACATTTTTGGGCTCTGCAATCCAAAAAGTAAGAAATGTAAGAAACAGAAGGTGACTACCTCTGTTTTAACAGTATAATTATTATTGTTTTTCTGATATTATACAAAGTAATAATAGTTTTTTTCCTATTTGCTTTTCTTTTTATGTGTATATAAATGTATATTTAAACATAGTTTTTTAGCATTGCATGTTCTTTTGAAATAGGTTCTTTAAATTATTTTTAAAATACTTGAAACTTTTGTTTGTTCAATTCCTGTGTTGAGAATCTTAATTTTTTTAATATCAAGCGAATGTGTTGCCACTTTTCTATTTTTAAGTTTGATGCAATTTGTTTCACTACCTGCTTATATAAATTCAGCTGATATTTACTTCTAAAACAGAAAATAGCTGGTGGCAAGGAGGCCCTAATAGAATTATGCAAAAAGCCTGTATCATATTAAATACCCTATTCTCTAGAATGTGTGACTAGGTAAACTATTAACTAACTGTATCCAATACTGTTTAAAAAATAAAACCTATTAAATTTTAAAAAAAAAGAAAAAATCTTATGTCATAGGCAAAACTAATGTTAAATATATCATTGAATAAGTGGAAACTGAAACTTTTATATTCAAATGAACATTGGAAACTAAACTGTTCATACAAGAATGAACAACTTACTTAGAGCTATAATCATTGGTATATAATTATTACTAAAATTTCAAAAAGTATCTTTTTAAAAAAAAACTTATTTTTTAAATTTTGGCAATCATGCCATATTTTCTTGGTTAAAAGTTAAATTTTTGAGGATAAAAGGTATATTTATTCGGATAAAGTATTGTTTTTTGCCCAATTTCATTACTTAATAATTCTAGGCTAATTATCTATCAAATCGTCGATGGTGCCTTCAAACCATGAACCTTTTTAGTTTAATAAAATTTAAACATCGGATGAAAAGGTATTCACAGTGTTAGTTTTTTTATTTTTTTGGAATAATACTTTGTGTGTGCCAATTAGTTTTCTTAAATAGATAAGATACCTCATTATTCCATATCCTGTTTAACTCATGAAAATTTTACATCTATAAATTTTCTTTTTAAATACATTTTCTTTCCTTTCCAGATTGGTTCATTCCATGTCAGGTTATACCCCAGTTAGTTAATTGTGTCATTGTGATAATTCTTTTTTGTTTGATAAATGGGACAATTTTTACAATGCTACATATTTAACACGTTTCTAAGAGCACTTCAGCGACTGTAAATAAACTTTGAAATTTTCATACTTGTGCTCAATATTGAAGCTTTCATTCTTGCCTACATCCTGAAGCATTTTGTTTACTCTATCTCTTTTTGAAATAAAGGTTTTACTAAACAAATTGTGGCTCTTTCTTATCACATCTTGTTTACTTTATTTATTAAATTTTATTTAAGTATGTTCATTGTATTTTTTTTTTTTTATTTGTTCAAATGTTTTAAAAGAAAAATATTTTCATTACATTATTTGATTTTATTTTGTTTTATTAAAATTATTGTCAACTAGAATCTTATTTGAAACTCTTACTTTAAAAGGTGATCTTTCTCAAGACTTGCTATGAAAATGACCTTTATGAAAACAAAACTTTCCATTTAAACATTTAATTTCACAATCAGCATGGGTGCCACTCTAAATAAATTTCAAGACTGAACTTTTTTTTTTACCAATTAACTAGGTCTAGCGTTGTTTACCAGAATGTTTAGAAATTTATAGCTTACTGACTTCAAAATGTACCTTTCTATGATAATAGCTCATATATCATAATTAGGGCTGCAAGTTTGTCGCGGGAAAGAAGACCCCAAATTTGTGTAAAAATCGCGGGAATATTTGAAAATTACTCAAATTCTAAACATAAAAAAATTTATTGTATAAATGATGCAAAAGACAGAAATTGAGCAATATAATAAAAAAAGCTTAAAAATGCACAGCAAAAGTATTTCTTTGAATTTCAAGGAATATTAATATTTTTATTTAAATGAATAAAATATTGGTACAAAGTGTTGTACATTGTCAGATTATTCTCATTTATCCTTCGTCTTTCATCACTTAATAAATTTTTATACTTAGAAAACGATCTTTCTGCATCGACGCTGTTTTTAGGCACCGACAAACTTTGAATTGCCAATTTTGGACCATTCGGTCTTTTATTTCCAAAACTCGATCAATTTTCCTCCACCAATGCGCAATTCCTTGAACGTTGCTTTGTAAGAAGTAATTGCGGTGAAAACTCAAACATTCTACATTCAAACTACTAGTTACAAGTCCCTACTAACTACTAGTCCCCCCCTTCATCTAAAAACTGATCCATATTTAAGAAATCACAAGAAGCCGCCTGGGAAAAATTAACTGGATATGTAGAAAGGCAGTAGAAATTTCATTGCCCAGTGCAATAGCATATATAACAATTTTTCTGTCAAAGATTTGATTTATAACATTTTCCTTCTTTTGTGATTCCAATTTCTTGTGTACTCTTACTGACTTCAGGAAGGTAATTACCCTCCCTAAGTGTAGAAAGACCACCTTAGTTGACAAGATTGTAGTTACAAGTCCCTACTAACTACTAGTCCCCCCCTTCATCTAAGAAACTGATCCATATTTAAGAAATCGCAAGAAGCCGCCTGGGAAAAATTAACTGGATATGTAGAAAGGCAGAAATTTCATTGCCCAGTGCAATAGCATGTATAACAATTTTTCTGTCAAAGATTTGATTTATAACATTTTCCTTCTTTTGTGATTCCAGTTTCTTTTGTACTCTTACTGACTTCAGGAAGGTAATTACCCTCCCTAAGTGTAGAAAGACCACCTTAGTTGACAAGATTGTGATTATCTCTTATCTCTGAACTATTTTCATGTTATTTTGCTATTGATTCACAGCCCTAAATATGTAATCAATTTTACATGTTCAATTTAAGGTTCAGGTAAATAAAAAATTCTGTTTAATAAAAATAATAAATTAAAAAAAATCAAATTTTAAGCAATTTTCGCACAAGTTAAGACATATTGAGAAATTCGCAGATTTTAGGAAAGAAGATGACAATTTCGCGGAAATTCGCCCCGCGACAAACCTGAAACCCTAATCATAATCAACTAGGAATTTATTAATTTATCTATAAAAAAAATTTTTTTCATTTTTTTCACAGCAAGCAAATATAAAAATAATTCGAAAATAAATAATAAAAAATAGTTTAAGAAAATTAAATAAAACCAAATAGGAAAATTATATTAATTAATGAAATTTAGTCTACTGATTTTTTCTCAAGACTGATTTCAGCCCCCAGGACTGTAGAGTGGCAACCATAACAATCAGTTTATTTTTCAGCCTATTCTGATAAAAAACAGCTTTTTGCTTATGAAAAACATTATTAAAGCAATGAAAATTTTTTTTAAAAACCTTTAGTTTCAATTGAGACTTTTAGTTTTATAAACTGATAATTTACGTCAAAAATGTCTCATAAACAGACATGATTGTTTCGGAACTATAATTATGCATCTTCTATGAACAAAAAAATGAGAGGGAAACACAAATATGCAAAAGAAACTACTAACTATCTACAATAAGGAGTTAATTTAAAAACAATATTGACCAATTGGATTGAGTTGCAAGATTTTTAATATCACTAGGCTGTTAGCTGAGAATCTAAGCTGTAGAAATCAAAAAAAGATCTTATAACTTTTTGAGTTTTTACCCTTCCTTCTTGTTTTCTTTTACCTCCTTGTTTTTTCTTATCTCCTTTCTTGTTCTTGAACATTTTGTTCCTTGCTTTTTGTAATGCAATTGAAAAAGCAATTTAAGTGCCTCATAGAAGTGAAACACTTACTTTGATTTTTCAATTGCATGGCAGTATTGGCCAGTCTTTTTTTCCGCTTTCAAGTAACTTATTTGTAATTTCTCCTGTTTTTATCATTCTTTATGTGTATCAAGAGTAAAAGATGATGCTTCAAGTATCATCATATTTAGCATGATAGCCCAGGGTGGGCTAAGGTTTTTTGTTGACAATTCCTCTAGGGCAGCTTATTATTTCCCAGTCACTATAAATCTGACAAAACGGAATCAAGAAATTGTTGTATTGGCCTTTTTTCCAGCTAGTAAAGATCTTTGTAACGAAAACCTGCTTTCTATCTAGTTCTTTAAAAATTCTTATATTTCTTTCTGCTACAACTCTGCCAATTGTTATCTTTGACACCACCAAAGTTTGCTTCTGAGAATCTTTCTTTTGAAAACTTGCCTTTTTACTGTGTGTGTTAGATATCACTTTATTTGGAAATTAAACCAGAATTACAACTGTTCACTGCATCACAAAGGAGAAGGAAAAATAATTAACAGTGAACAGTGCATATTTGAAAAAGTATCATTAACAATTTAAAAAAATTTAAAGTGACAATAAACAGTCAAAAGGAGACAAAGGAATTATTCAATTATAGTCTGATCATTAAGAATTCATTATTGATCTTGTTTCTGATTATAATTTGGTAATCTCTCCGTCATCCTGCGAGCTTCTTTCTACTTCTTGAAGAGATCAAAAAAATAGCTCGAATTCAGAGTTCTGCTTGGTGAATTAGGCATAAGTTGGTAGAGAGTAGACTTTTTTAGTTAAAGTATGTATGACTTTGTTAGTACACTTTAATTAAGACTGACGGCATAAGGAAAATTTTACATATTAGAATTTTTGTATTTCTGTCAAGAAAACAAAACCTCAATAAAGAACTAAGTTCTAAGAACACTTTGACTAATGAAATGAAAATGATTTTATCTATAGTACCTAAATGATTGGACTCTTTTATCATTATTTTTACTTAATTTATGTACAATGCAAAGTTTGTTCTACTTCAACTGGAGTTAAGTTATAAAACAAACTTCTCTCAATTTTTAAATCCTACTCTAAATTTTTGCATATTTTATGAAAAGGAAAGGTTAAATTTATTAAACCAAGAATCACAAATGATGAACTACCACTTTAAAATATATATTTGCTGTCCGGAGCAAGTTGGCATCTCTGCATATAGAAGTGGTACTGAAATGAGAAAAATATGGTTAATTTTAGAGAAATATNTACATTAGACTATATATATATATATATATATATATACAGTCGTTCCAAATTAATCGCCCCTCGGACAATCGAATAACCTGCTTATACGAATAAAATTTAATGGAACTAAATTATTTTATATTAAACTAATGTTGAACTTCTCCGTTTAAACGGTTATTTGTTGTTTTTTGCCCCCGCGTAATTGCATATACAGCGATGCCAACTGCTCCGGACACGCCAAAATAATTAAAAAAACGGTAAATAACTACGAAGTAAATTTTGCAAATATTTGACTATTTTTGCCTACTTTTTTAGAGGTATAGCCTGACATAAGTACTATAAAGTGATGAATTATATAAGCCTACGAATTATTTATAAATAGTGGTGGATAAAAATGTTCTAAATTAAATTTATTAAACCAAGAATCACAAATGATAAACTACCACTTTAAAATATATATTTGCTGTCCGGAGCAAGTTGGCATCTCTGCATATAGAAGTGGTACTGAAATGAGAAAAATATTGCTAATTTTAGAGAAATATTTCACCTGCTAAAATGGAATTTCCCTTTTGCAGTTAAAATAAGGATACAAGGTGGTCATTTCAATAGGGACCTCGTATTCATTATAGTAGGTGTTAGGGATGAAGTTGAAAAATTAATCAAATCTTGCTGCCTCTCTTTACCCCTCTTTGACTTACTTCACTCACACATAATTTAGTATGTAAAAAAGGGATAGAGTGATTTGTTTTTAGGTCAAGACTTGCGGTCCCCTCTTGATGAACTATTAGCTTTGATAAGAAAAAGTTTTAAAAACCTAATACACTATTGTAAAGAGTGTCTTTCTCTTAAGTAGAATAATTGCTTAATCCAGTGAATAATTTTGAGTTGGTTGTAAGTTGAGCGCGAAAAAGAATGATTTAAATTAATCGGAAAAAAAAACAATGAATCTTAGTAACAATAAATT